AAATAATATTCAATGCTATTTATATTTTTTATTAATATTATTAATATTATATATATGTACTCACAATTATTCCATTTTTAGAATAATCAATTTCCCATTCTAGACCAGCTAAATCAGCATCATATATATGTTCATTTAGAGAATCACGAAGTAGTTGGATAAACATATAAGTCAAATTGCAATTAACAGGATCCATAAAGGCAACCGGACTATAAATTAAAAACAAAATAGAAACATCGTATAATTATAACAAAATATATTTCTTTTGTTAGAAAAAGAGATTATATTATTGTCTGTACTTGATATATTTATAGTTGCAAATTTATTTCTTTACAATTGATTTCAAAGATAATGAATACATTTATGTATTATATTTAATCATTCCATTATTATAACTTGTATAAATTGGCAAAATATACAATTTTGTGAATATAAGCTTATTTAAAGGTATTTCGATTATTTATGTAATAAATCATTTATTTAATTAAAAGAATGAAATATTTTTTATACTTTATTGCATACCTGACAAATTCGAACATCATCCACGTTTTTGGTACAAAAAATTCGTTATCTTTTTTATACCAAAGCCTTATAAATGAAGTATCTTGTAAAATAATAGGAAACGTTTTTACCTGTAAAATATAAACTATATATTAGTGCACATAATAATTATGATAATAAAACTACAAAATAAATTTACGATCCATGATATAATCGGCATAAGATAATTCAACAGTATAAAATAAATCCATCTTTTTTATTACTTCTCTCTTATCTCTCACAATAGCTCTTTTACTTTGTAATAAATTAATACTTATGCATTTTCTTAAAATTAATGCAAAGGAAAAATATTTCAAATTTATCATTATTACAATGAAGAGCTATATATGTACAAAAAAAACCAAATAATTTTAAATATATTAAATATGTCTATATTAAATTATAACAGCATAACATAATTTATACTTTATTTATACTTTACAAAAACTTCAATTTAAATATTGACTTATTAGTCTACTATTGTCACTCAAGAATTAATATTGTGGAAGATAATTTTAATTACATTAGTTTCAGGTTTGATATCAAATTTAGTAGGTATAAATTCATTCTTAGAAGGCAATTTCAAATCCGAATTATAGCCAGCATTGTTCCATATATCCATTGTTTCCTTGGATATTTTCTCTTTCTTATATTTAGTGCCATACCAATTTTCGGTTTCATTTGCTATATTGTCACATGATTTTGCAGCAAGGTGAATTCTGATATTTTCTGGTGTCAAATATTTCATTATTTCGTCGATCAAATCCGGTCGCCATTCATTGAAAACACGTTTTGCACACAAAACTTCAGTCATGGGATATTCTTGCAGTTTGTGAACTATAGAAGACACGTAACTCATAGGTAAATGCTTCTCTTGAAAACAAAAATTTATATTCGCGATATCTCTATATTCCTGTAAACGTTAAATCATATGTAACGTACAATATTAAAATATAGAATGTCGAATAAATTATGATATCATAATTTATCATTCTATATACAATCACATTATTTTATGTCATCAATTACATTATAAATCCATTCGATTGGGCCATTCAACTTGAGCATATTGATATACTGAAATGTCAATTGAACAATATCTTCAACATGTTTAATTCCTTCCTCGGTTAGATCAACAAAAATACTTAAAAAATTGAAGCCTCTGGCATTATTAAGTTCTTCTCTCTCACATGTCAGAGAGTTACACCAACCCCTGGCCTTTAAAGCTGATAATAACGAGCCTCCTCCTTGGTGTCCAAGCAGATGAGAAACGTAATATTCGGGCTATGTTAACAATTATTTTCACGTTATACATGTGCAAAATGTGTATATTACATACACGATATATATGATCATATAATTGTAATTAAAAAAGCATATATACATATATACCCAGTCAGCAAAATGTTAGTAGAATATCGGCAAACTGGCAACAGATTTAACCAGAAAATGTTAGCAGACTGACTTCACCTCATGTGAGGTCTCATTCTGCTTACATTCTGTTGACAGAATCTGTTCTTTTCATGTTTGGTTATCGGGGGGAGGGGTGTATAT